GATAATAATAATGATAATAATAATGATAATAATAATAATAATAATGATAATAATAATAATATATTAATAAATTTTTATTAAAAACGAGTTTTGATTAGTTTTGATATTTTGTATATTGTATATTTTATATATTTTGATATATTGTGTATATATATTAAATTCTCTATAAGTAAATAAATACTTTTACTTTTACAAATTCCAATTTCATAATACTAAAATACATATATAATAAATAAATGATCCATTTTTTTGTAATAAATAAATGTAATAATTAAATAGAACTTAAAAATAATCAAAATAAATAATTAAAAACCTCTTATATAAAGTATTTGTCTCCCAATTTACTCGAATAATCAATTTTCTATTGAACTTAACAAGAGAAAAAAAGTGAATTATTCAAGTTAATTATTGGTACATTTAATATTTTATCCATTTTATAATACGTATATATACACACTTTTTTAAATAACATTAATGTACAAAATATACGTGTATTAACATAATGATTATCCAATGATAACAACAAGTGATAAGCAGTATTCTCTATATACAAATTTCAACAAACAAGAAGTACAAAGTGAAAACATGACTTATATTGTAGTATATTGCAGAATAGTATATTAGTACAGTATAGTAGTACAACTTGTTACTCAAGCTCGTGTAAAGTATATGAAGACTTCTAGACTGAAACTAGATCCTCAAAAGTAAATCGATTGAATTACAAATGTTCACGCTCTCCTTCATCTTTTTTCTTCCTACTTAAAACTACCAAAGGTTAACAAATTTGCCTTCAATTTTCACTACAAAAGAAACCTACTCATTTCAATGGACAAGGATAAGTGTATAAGATAAGGTATATATCTAGATAGATATTCATATGTACGAGATCGTCTGAGAATATTGCAAACGAGCGAAGGAATACCGAATGACATATAAAAGTATGCGAAAATTCACTTCTTAAATGTGCTCCGAGTCACCTTATTACATATACAGTCTGAAATGTTCATGTATATATATAT